CTCTCAACAGGAGTTTACCAAAATGCTTTACTTTCTGAGGCAATGTGTTCCTCTGACACATATCATAATTATATCATGGGTACGTACACACTTGGCTAGGTCAAGGTCCTATAATTTAATTTTTTTACGGTCTATTAATGTAACAGTGCCCCCTCTTGTAAAAACATACCCAGCTAGCACATAACGTTCTGAGAACCATACGTTTCTTAGAGCTTGGTGAGAGCCTGGTTGTCCTATGGTTATTTTGCATACAGCCTTCCCAGAACTTTCTGGGCGCAAGATACCCAGCTAGCACATAACGTTCTGAGAACCATATGTTTCTTAGGTGGGAATTTCAGTACTTCAGCATAACTTTTTCTGCAGGTTTCCTCATGGTTCTATTTAAAGTTAATGTTCTCAGAACATTAAGAAAACATTCCATAAAAACCACAAGAAAACATTAGTAATGCTCAAAGAACGTTCTAAGAATGTTACTTTAAAACATATACATTCCGTTCTCGGCTCCAACAAAACTCTCTCTATTCTCTATCTTGTTAAGTGTGTTCACGTGTGTTGGCCAAGAGCCCTAATTGGCGACACCTGATCTTAATGAGTGCTTGTTTCCTTTGAAATGGGGTGTGTTAGAATACACTAAAATGAACCGCTTTGTATGAGTTAAAAACACATGTCATGCTAGCTCCATCCTGGTGGTGCTGTGGACTAATTCCATGGATAGAGAACAGAAGATCATAGGTTTGAGCCTAACTGACGCCATGCCACAATAAAAAATGAAATGTTTTTGCATGATTAATGCCTAAGCAAAATAATTTCCATGTGTCCAATCTGTGCTTGGAGTTCAAAACAGTTAACCCAAACTAAGCTAGCAGTGTTATTAAAAGTCTTATTAAAACATTCAGTTAAAGTTTTAAGGAAGTTATTCTAAAACCTCCAAATAACCTATCATTTCCACTCTCAGAATGTTAATAAAACCTCCCAGGAAATCTTTCAGGGAACCATAGTAAAACATTCTCAGAACCTTCCTGCAACCTAAAAATGAACTTTCTCAGAACAAGCAAAATGTTCACTTTGGTTCTCAGAACGTTTAAAACCTTTCAGTTTTAAGGTCAGGAAACGTATGACTTAGTTCCCAGAACCCATGTGAAATCAAAAACGTACGTTCCCACAACTTCCAAGGAACCAAATGTGCTAGCTGGGTAGTATCCTGATTGAAATGTCACTAATCATACCTGTTTAAGACCAGGTATGTTTGTGTTTTTACGTCTAAAATACTGTTGAGTTCGGTAGTCAGGAGCCTCTGCTGCTAATATATATTTTTTAAATGAAGGAAAATGAAAAAGCAGACCATTTCTAGGCTTTTACATAGATTTTCTTATAAATGTTGTCTTCTATGAGAGAAGTCGCTCGCTTTTCCTTGACGCACCGCCTACTTTCAACCTAATTGGACAATAATCTATCCAATCACACTCCACGTTGTACGGCGGCCGCTCAATTTTGAAAACCAAAATGTCGACTGGGGCTGTTCAAGCGTAAGTTTCATAAACATTTGTATCAAATTGAATACTCTTATACAATGTACTTCAGCCCTATTCCATAATATCGTGCCTTTCGTCAAATTATGAATCGAGGTAAGGCTTCTTATAATAGCCTAGTTAATTATAAACCCCTAAAAAGAACTGTCAAGATGATGTTGTGAGTGCCTAGACAAGCAAGCTAGCTGTTAACGTTAACTAGCTATTCGGAGTTTGACTCTGAACCATCGTTTTCAGGTTGCTTGAAAGATGCGACCATGTACATTTGGATTTGTACGATGGGCAAGCATAGGAGGGTGGGAAGCGGAGTTTGACACTGTGTAGTTACACAGTAAATAATAAAACTGGTAGCGGTTTTAACTGTAGTTCTAGTTTATTAAAGGAAAAAAAACTTTACTTCTTCAAAGATGATTCGTTTTTCCATGTAAAATTGTTTGAAGGATTATGAATGGAAAAAGTCAAGGGGAGAGATAATGTCTTTTTTTTATCGAAAAACAAAATAACATATTTAATTTCCAATTGATTTTGTTCTTCATTAGACTTACGTTTTAGCCTCAAAATTCTTATCTTTTTTGTTTGATTTATTTTTGATGCTTTTTCAAATGACATAGGATTGTATTCTTGTGTTTGGATGCATAGGATTCTCCTCTGTGAACTGAACATAATAAACTCGGTGAAACTTTCAGAGCAGCATGATGTCTAAACGATTCGATTTTTTATTTTAATTTTTAATGATTCATTTGAAAAGAAAGGACCTGTTTAGCTGCAGTCTCCGGAGAAGCTGGAGGAGGAGGACATGGAGAGAGAGAGGCCCATCTATCGGGCTCTGCTCTGCTGCCAACCCTCCTCCACCTCTGGGGCCTTGGCCTTTCTATTTCTGCCTGCCTGATTTCTTTAGTTCTCATCAAGACTTGTTTTAAACTCCTTGTAAACAAAACAGAGCATAGATATGAATGTGTTATTAAAAGACGAGAAAACCGGAACCCGCTTCTGTCTTGTGTGTTTTCTGTGTTATCTTTTTACTCTATACAGTACCTCCACCACACTGCCACTGTGGTCCTCTGTAGCTCAATTGGTAGAGCATGGCGCTTGTAACGCCAGGGTAGTGGGTTCGATCCCCGGGACCACCCATACGTAAAAATGTATGCGCACATGACTGTAAGTTGCTTTGTATAAAAGCGTCTGCTAAATGGCATATTATTCTTCACCCACTGTGGTCTTTACAGAAAAATTACAATGGAACCACAGAACTAGAATAATTCATTATATTTCTATGAGTGGAACACTGTGTATCATGTCACATCAGAGGCCTCGATCTAGCGTTTGGAATTCCAATCAAAGATATCAATGAAAAGTCTAGGGACTCTACGGCTATATTTTATTTTATTTTATTTATTTCACCTTTATTTAACCAGGTAAGCCAGTTGAGAACAGGTTCTCATTTACAACTGCGACCTGGCCAAGATAAAGCAAAGCAGTGCAATAAAAACAACACAGAGTTACATATGGGGTAAAAAACATAAAGTCAAAAAATACAACAGAAAATATATATACAGTGTGTGCAAATGTAGCAAGTTATGGAGGTAAGGCAATAAATAGGCTATAGTGCAAAATAATTACAATAGTATTAACACTGGAATGCTAGATGTGCAAGAGATTATGTGCAAATAGAGATACTGGGGTGCAAAAGAGCAAAATAAATAACAATATAGGGATGAGGTAGTTGGGTGGGCTAATTTCAGATGGGCTGCAAATATTTGCAAAGAGGATGCACTTTAGGTATTGAACTTTCTTGGAATTTCTTAGAAGCAACCTAAAACACTAGTATTAACAAATATACTTCTTTAAGCCTATATCTGGAGACACTCTTAACAGGAGTTTACCAAAATGCTTTACTTTCTGAGGCAATGTGTTCCTCTGACACATACAATAATTATATAATGGGTACACACTTGGCTAGGTCAAGGTCCTATAATTAAATGTTTTTACAGTCTATACATTTAACAGTGCCCCCTCTTATAAAAAAATACCCAGCTAGCACATAAAGTTCTGAGAACCATATGTTTCTTAGGTGGGAATTTCAGTACTTCAGCATAACGTTTTCTGCAGGTTTCCTCATGGTTCTATTTAAAGTTAATGAACATTAAGAAAACTTTCCATAAAAACCACAAGAAAATATTAGTAATGCTCAAAGAACGTTCTAAGAATGTTACTTAAAAACATTTACATTTTAGTCATTTAGCAGACGCGCTTATCCAGAGCGACTTACAATTAGTGAGTGCATACATTTTTCATACTGGCCCCCCGTGGGAAACGAACCCACAACCCTGGCGTTGCAAGCGCCATGCTCTACCAACTGAGCTACAGGGGACATTCCGTTCTCAGCTCCAACAAAAATCTCTCTATTCTCCATCTTGTTAAGTGTGTTGGCCAAGAGCACTAATTGGCGACACCTGATCTTAATGAGTGCTTGTTTCCTTTGAAATGGGGTGTGTTAGAATACACTAAAATGAACCGCTTTGTATGAGTTAAAAACACATGTCATGCTAGCTCCATCCTGGTGGTGCTGTGGACTAATTCCATGGATAGAGAACAGAAGATCATAGGTTTGAGCTTAACTGACGCCCGTGCCACAATAAAAAATGAAATGTTTTTGCATGATTAATGCCTAAGCAAAATAATTTCCATGTGTCCTATCTGTGCTTGGAGTTCAAAACAGTTAACCCAAACTAAGCTAGCAGTGTTATTAAAAGTCTTATTAAAACATTCATTTAAGTTTTAAGGAAGTTATTCTTAAACCTCCAAATAACCTATAATTTCCACTCTCAGAACGTTAATAAAACCTCCCAGGAAATCTTTCAGGGAACCATAGTAAAACATTCTCAGAACCTTCCTGCAACCTAAAAATGAACGTTCTCAGAACAAGCGAAATGTTCACTTCTGTTCTCAGAACGTTTAAAACCTTTCAGTTTTACCGGTCAGGAAAAGTATGACTTCGTTCCCAGAACCCATGTGAAACCAAAAACGTACGTTCCCACAACTTCCAAGGAACCAAATGTGCTAGCTGGGTAGTTTCCTGATTGAAATGTCACTAATCATTTACATTTTTACATTTTAGTCATTTAGCAGACGCTCTTATCCAGAGTGACTTACAGTTAGTGAGTGCATAATTGTTTTTTTTTTCATACCTGTTTAAGACCAGCACTGTGGTGTGTATTTATGTCTACCAAACTGTTGAGTTCGGTAGTCAGGAGCCTCTGCTGCTGCTAATATATATATTTTTTTTAATTAAGGAAAATGAAAAAGCAGACAATTTCTAGGCTTTTCATAGATTTTCTTTCAAATGTTGTCTTCTATGAGAGAAGCCGCTCCCTTTTCCTTGACGCACCGTCTACTTTCAACCTAATTGGACAATAATCTATCCAATTACACCCCAGGTTGTACGGCGGCCGCTCAATTTTGAAAACCAAAATGGCGACTGAGGCTGTTCAAGCGTAAGTTTCCTAAGCATTTTTATCTAATTGAATACTGTTATACAATGTATTTCAGCCCTATTCCATAATATCGTGCCTTTCGTCACATTTTGAATCGAGGTAAGTCTTCTTATAATAGTCTAGGTAATTATAAACCCCTAAAAAGAACTGTCAAGATGATGTTGTGAGTGGCTAGACAAGCAAGTTATCTGTTAACGTTAGCTAACTATTCGGAGTTTGACTCTGAACCATCGTTTTCAGGTTGTTTGAAAGATGCGACCATGTACATTTGGATTTGTACGATGGGGCAGAGCATCAGGAGGGTGGGGAAGCGGAGTTGATGGTGCCCTACCTAACTGTGAGTAGGTTAACACATCCCCTACTTTAGACACTTTGAAATGCTTGACCAAACAACTCGTCAAAATGTTGGAGATGGTCAAAGAAAAATGTATGCATGGCATTAATTACGTTTATAAGTACTATCTGTGTGTTGTTGTTCAGGAGAGTCGTAGCATACAGAAGATGATGGGCAGACAGTTGTTTGTGCTGGATGACATGATGCAGCTTCTGGAGAAACTGGAGTCAACTGACCAGCTGCTTAATGAACCCTGCCCCCCAAACCCCGGTAACACACAGACACACCCAACACATAATCAGCAATAATGCCACTCAAGATATCCTTACTTCCATGGCATCTGAGTACCATGTAATAGTACTCGGAGGGGTCAGGTCTACCCCAGTGTAGTACTTTTGTAAATGACTGGTCTGCTGTGTTCAGGCAACAAGGCTCACAGACGCTGGAAGGCCCTGAAGAGTGAATATAAAGAGGGAGTCCAGGAGGTGGAGACACTCATCAGCACCCTACAGGACAGGATGGATAAACTGCACCACAAACGGAACAGACTGACACACCTGGTCACGGCACTAGAGAAGAAGGTATACACACTCACGGACACACACACACTTTAGTCTGTACGGTGACTTTCCACATCTTTGAAAAAGAAAGCAATCGGTCCCCTCACAATTTGCAGACATTCGACGGACATGGTCTTTCGTATGGTTACTTTGTTTAATAGTCCTGTGCCATGTTTTGGATGTGTAATCTGTCTTTCCACATCTCTCCCATAGAAAGATCTCAGTCTGCAGATGGGGGAGGCCCTCCAGAGAGCCCACAATGCCTTGCGTGTGTGTGAGGGGCAGCTGGCCCAGCTGAGGGCGGAGACAGACGCCGCACTGGACCGCTTGGCTGACTGGCAGCACCTGAGAGAAGCGTGAGTGACAAGCAGCTCTATCCACCAATCATACGTCCTTGCAGAAACGTGTCCTATTTCTACTCTCCCACTAATTTGCCCTGACTAGTCTTGCGCTACCACACTTCCATGTTGTTCACTCAGCTTATTAGAACTCTCATTCAATTTCCCATTTCCTAATGAACGTGAGAAAGACAAATTGAGATTCGCCCAGTCTAAAATCAACCTAGAACCCCTAACCTAGCCCCTTGGTAATTGCAAACGAGGGTGGGCACCTGACTGCGCTGCTGCAGTCCGTACTCACCTCTCTCCCCTATTGTCACCTGTCCTCAGCCTGCAGGGCTATGTGGAGGAGACACAGGGGGTGATGCAGTGTAGGCTTCTGTCGGTGGGGTCCTCGGAGCTGTGTGTGGAACTGAGGCCCCACTCCTGTGGGTCCTCCTCCTCCTCTGGCCAGCTGGAGCCCCTCAGACTGACCGTCACTTGGAGCCCTGATGACCACTTCCACCTCCAGGTAAACAACACAACTGACCTCCGAATGTGAAGCAAACAACATGGGGAGGGACCTACCTGAATGTGTCCAATAGAAACTCTCGTTTTAGTTGCAAAAAGTTTTCAGTTTGGAGTAATCGGTTTCCGTTGCAAAACTTTTTGCTACGGTGTGTGAGTAATGAATACACTCTTGGTTCGGTTTCCGGTCCCTTCGCCACTTTTCCATAGCTCCTTCCCCTGTTCCGGTTCCATCCTAGTTCCTACACCTCTTCTCCTTAGCTCCCCCTGAGCCCCTTTCCTGTCCCTGTCTCCTAGATGAGAATCATTGTTAGATTTAGCCAAGTAAGATATCTCTCTACATTATTTCTCAGTTTTTGGCACCTATTGAGAAAAAATATATATATTTTGCCACCATTAGTCACAACCCCCACTTTCTCCCCCGTCCCTCTCCATCCCTCTAGGTGTATCAGGGTACTGCAGGGCTGTTAGAGGAGTCAATTAAGGGTCGCCTTTCTCACCTCAGTGCTGCCCTGCTGGAGGTCATGCAGTGCTACATCAGCCAGGGAGAGATGCTGACTGAGATCCAGGCCCTGCACTCCAGGTACACACACACACAGTGCCTGCAAAGATCAGTCAGTGATCATAGAATCGAGACCCTTGATGTTCATTGATAAAGTGGAATTATGTTTCTTTCTGAGACTGAATCCTGTTGCTGTTTGAATGGCCTTACCACATGATCTGAAGCATTAAAAGCAGCCGTCTGAATATATCCCACTGCCTCTCTCTTGGAGAGGGATCATTGAGACACACAAACACTAACAAAAACCCATGTAAAACAGTTGTATACAGTCAAAACGGAGCGATTTCTGCAAACTAAAACATGCGGATTGGCGTTCAACAACCATAACTTTTATTTTTATTTGATTGAATATTTAAAACATACAATATACTTGCAGTGAAGCCGCTCAACAACTACATCATATTAGTCATCTAACAGACTCCCATCGAGAGAGCGACACACAGAAGCAACCAGGGTCAATGCCCTGCTCAAGGGCACATCGACAGATCTCCCACAAGGTCAAAAACAGGGACCCGAACCAGCGATCCATCAGCCACCGGCCCAAGCTCCCAACCGCCCGGCCACCAGCCCCACAGTTCCCCAAGAGCTGCCCCTCAACCATCCGAGAACCCCCCCCCCCCCCGACAAAAATTAAATAATTCCATGTTTATGTTTACTTTATTTTCAATCTATCTAATCGAATAAAATCCACAGATTGCGAGTTGAAGATAAGTACTTTTACTAAGAGTATTAGTAATTGAATGACCCGGTCTCTCCAGATCTCCCAATAGTACTATTTCTAGGGTAAATTTTAGATCAATGTTATGCATTTTCAGCCATTCCTGAACCTGAGGCCAGAAACAGGCTAACTGAGGGCAATACCAAAATAAATGGTCTATTGATTCTGTATCCTCACAACAAAATCTGCAGAGCTTCGATAATTGTATGCCCCAAATATTCAACATTTTGTTGGTGGGAAGAATTCTATATAATAGTTTTAGCTGAAAACCATGAAGTCATGAATCTTGCATCGTTTTATATATCAACTCATACACCCTGTACCATGGAATCGGTACATCAAAAATCTCTTCCCAACTATTTTGCAATCTGTATGGCACAGCTGTCAACATTCTGGTCCTCAAATGAAACTAGTATAATTTCCTATTTTTTGCTATTCATTCCTCCGCCAGTTTTGATCCTTTATATTGGGCAGACAGACCAGTTCCCTACCTCCTCCCGTTGCCTCCTCCATTTTTGGGGTAATGCTGTAATCAATTGGTTGTAATCTTGGATTGAGCAGACCTTCCCATACAATTCGGATAACTCCATGAAAGACATAACTCTACCATTCCAATTTACAATATAATTTAAAAACAAAATACCCTTTTCAAACCTTCCCATAAATACAGGTATTTTATCAACCAGCACATTTGAGTTCAGCCATAATATTTGTTGTAATATTTGTTCTATCTTTTCAGGGGGATGAAATTGAAATTGTAGCCAGCTCTGCAATGCTTGTTTGAAAAAGAGAGATACTTAGAAAAAAATCATTTTCAATTAATTGAAAATGAGACATGGTAATCTGCACAAAGGCAAAAATGCCATTTTTAATCAATGGATGAGCTTTTCTTAGTAATCTACTTTAGAAACATTTAGGGTTCAAAAGTAAAACTTTTGAATAAGTGATGCTTTTAGAGAGAGGTTTAGTGCTTTTATATTTAATGATCTTAACCCACCCAATTCATATTCATTATATAGATAGGCACGCTTTATCTTGTCTGATTTACCATCCCAGATAAACCATAACTTGCTCAGCTACGAACCCATCAAAGACGATGTTTTTAATGACCCCCGATATACACTACTCAAAAAAATAAAGGGAACACTTAAACAACACAATGTAACTCCAAGTCAATCACACTTCTGTGAAATCAAACTGTCCACTTAGGAAGCAACACTGATTGACAATACATTTCACATGCTGTTGTGCAAATGGAATAGACAACAGGTGGAAATTATAGGCAATTAGCAAGACACCCCCAATAAAGGACTGGTTTTGCAGGTGGTGACCACAGACCACTTCTCAGTTCCTATGCTTTCTGGCTGATGTTTTGGTCACTTTTGAATGCTGGCGGTGCTTTCACTCTAGTGGTAGCATGAGACAGAGTCTACAACCCACACAAGTGGCTCAGGTAGTGCAGCTCATCCAGGATGGCACATCAATGCGAGCTGTGGCAAGAAGGTTTGCTGTGTCTGTCAGCGTAGTGTCCAGAGCATGGAGGCGCTACCAGGAGACCGGCCAGTACATCAGGAGACGTGGAGGAGGCCGTAGGAGGGCAACAACCCAGCAGCAGGACTGCTACCTCCACCTTTGTGCAAGGAGGAGCACTGCCAGAGCCCTGCAAAATGACCTCCAGCAGGCCACAAATGTGCATGTGTCTGCTCAAACGGTCAGAAACAGACTCCATGAGGGTGGTATGAGGGCCCGACGTCCACAGGTGGGGGTTGTGCTTACAGCCCAACACCGTGCAGGACGTTTGGCATTTGCCAGAGAACACCAAGATTGGCAAATTCGCCACTGGCGCCCTGTGCTCTTCACAGATGAAAGCAGGTTCACACTGAGCACATGTGACAGACGTGACAGAGTCTGGAGACGCCGTGGAGAACGTTCTGCTGCCTGCAACATCCTCCAGCATGACCGGTTTGGCGGTGGGTCAGTCATGGTGTGGGGTGGCATTTCTTTGGGGGGGCCGCACAGCCCTCCATTTGCTCGCCAGAGGTAGCCTGTCTGCCATTAGGTACCGAGATGAGATCCTCAGACCCCTTGTGAGACCATATGCTGGTGCGGTTGGCCCTGGGTTCCTCCTAATGCAAGACAATGCTAGACCTCATGTGGCTGGAGTGTGTCAGCAGTTCCTGCAAGAGGAAGGCATTGATGCTATGGACTGGCCCGCCCGTTCCCCAGACCTGAATCCAATTGAGCACATCTGGGACATCATGTCTCGCTCCATCCACCAACGCCACGTTGCACCACAGACTGTCCAGGAGTTGGCGGATGCTTTAGTCCAGGTCTGGGAGGAGATCCCTCAGGAGACCATCCGCCACCTCATCAGGAGCATGCCCAGGCGTTGTAGGGAGGTCATACAGGCACGTGGAGGCCACACGCACTACTGAGCCTCATTTTGACTTGTTTTAAGGACATTACATCAAAGTTGGATCAGCCTGTAGTGTGGTTTTCCACTTTAATTTTGAGGGTGACTCCAAATCCAGACCTCCATGGGTTGATAAATTTGATTTCCATTGATAATTTTTGTGTGATTTTGTTGTCAGCACATTCAACTATGTAAAGACAAAAGTATTTAATAAGATTATTTCATTCATTCAGATCTAGGATGTGTTATTTTAGTGTTCCCTTAATTTTTTTGAGCAGTGTATATAATATCTTCACAGTATTACTTCTGAACTACTCAGTTCTACTGAATGTGAGTAGAAGTTGTCAGCAAATATTCAGGACCTTTCCCATACATTCTCAATCACACTGGAACACTGTTTATGTTCATAACCTTATACTCCAACACTTCTAAGCAAGAATTAGTGTGTGAGAGCTTATTCATATCTGTGGACTTTTTTCATATTCCAAGCACAATGACACATGAAGTTTTCTAACATCCAATCTTCTTTCATTCTGAAACACCTGTGTTTGGCATGGTGACAATTTCTCCTGTTTGTAGGTTTGCTATAGACTGGCGTCCAGGCCAGAGACTGCTAGTCTTCCTGAAGACTGCCTCTAGGGTGTGTAACCTGGGGGTGGAGGAGGGCTACCCCTCCAAAGGCACAGCTACACTCATCTCTGTACGCAGGGACGGAGAACTGGTTGACAACGCTGTCCTACAGGTAACACATTCACCGCCATTACCTGTTAATTGATGTATTTAGGCCCATTCGAGTCACGTAGAAATGGTATTAGTAAAAACGTTTTAGCAAAGAGGGAGCACTTCCCTTGTTCTAGTTATTATCTACCCTTAAAAATGTATTATTTTGTTCAGGTTCTACCCTCTGGGGGTCAGTACTTTTTTGGAGATCACCTTAAAATCAGATATCCACAGCTACATACAACCATGTAAGTGATGTTGTTGATTTGTCCATTCCATTACAATGTATGTGAGACATGTATGTTGTTTTAATTTGCAGCCTCCCCAGAAGACCCCCTCTCTGACCGAGTGGCTGGAGTTCCTCTCCTCCAGTCCGTACATCTGACCATCCTCTCTCTAGTCTACACAGAGGAAGTGGCTATTTCTCTCCATGGTCACTAAAGGGTGCCCTTGCCTCAATTAATATGTAAACATTAGGGATGTAACAATTCACTGATATGCATCGCTCCCGGTTCAAATATTTAAGATACTAGTGCATGGTTCTGCGGGAGCCCAATCCAAATGAAGCATGCATCAGTCAGAAAACCGATTCAAACGTTACAATCGCCAGTTCATTAATGTTTTTTACTGTTTTATTCCGAAATTACCTCCTATGTGTTGTGACTGAATTGATGCGTCCTCTCCATCAGTTCAGTAGGCTATTGAACTGTTATGCATGTAACTGCATATGACTGTCAGATAACGACTGTGCGCACAGTGCAGGTAGTCAGAGCTGCTTGCGCCAACTAGAGGTAGTCTATCCCTCTTCTAATAGGCTATTCGTACATCAGCGGCACCTTCAACATTCAGATGCTTAGAAAAATGGCTTTCACAATGTCATATCGTAGGGTTTATTAGTTGAGTGACAATGTAATTTGCTGAGTCATTGTTACCAAATGCTCTGGTTTTTTTTTTACTGGAGTTGTGTGGTCTACTGGAGTAAGTGGGCACAACAAACATTGAACTGCTGATTGGGCTTTTCATTCATTCCGATTTTTTTTAAATTGTTCAGGTCACCATGAGAAATTTTTTTTTTTTTTATTTTTTTTTACAGTCAGTGTATTTGTGCATTTTTACATAGATCAAGGTAATTTCATAATGGACCGCAATCATTTTTAGGAGCATCGCATGCTCGGTCATATTCATTAGTCAGAGCTGGAGAAGCGCTCCATAAAATTCCAAACGGTCTAAACCATTAGCTTTTGAGGCGGGTAAAATCTAACGCTGCATTGTATTAATTGGCTAAATGCCACGATAATTTCTAAAGATAAATATTGACATAGTACAAGCGCAACATTTTTTATCTGCCAAAATGAGAAGTTAATGAGTGGGTGATGGTTATTGCAGATAAAAAGTGGGGGGACAAAAAGCATCAATTGCCTCCACCCCTAATCTGATGGGGGTGGTATATGCTCAGTCTGCCCTATGGCTCAGCTCAGGTGCCTACACCATTAATAATATAATATGCCATTTAGCAGACGCTTTTATCCAAAGTGATTTACAGTCATGTGTGCATACATCTTTAAGTATGGGTGGTCCCGGGGATCGAACCCACTACCCTGGCGTTACAAGCGCCATGCTCTACCAATTGAGCTACAGAGGTACCACACACACATTAACAGAGGGCCACTCAGTTTAAAAATTAGAAGTAATCTCTGACAGATCCAGTCAGAGGCCCAGCTCCTGAGCTCCAATCATTAGCAGATATTAATTTTTAATGGAAAATTAATGTGTTCATGCAAAATAAATTACTGTATCGAACCGAATCGCGTCAATTCGTTCCCCTAATCAAACCGAATCGCACGAATTGTTAAGGATTAAAACATATAGTTCCTGTGTCATATCAGAGCTCATGTATCTAGATGCATATTGAATAATTCAAGAAAGGAGAGCTACACATCCCTAATAAATATCTCATGACTCCTTTTCTAATATTGCTCTGTTTTGTCTTCTAGATGTATCTGTTGTCTTATCTATGTATTGTTATAACGGTATTACCACTCGCGTGTAAAGAAATAAACCTTTTCTCTGTTAACTTTTGTCCATTGGTTTTTCTTAATATTTACACTTAAAGAAGAGGTGAAAGTTGTGCACTCTACTCTCTATACTCAAAATAAATAAACCACGTTGTGGTGAATGAAGAGTGCAACTTGTATTTCTTTATCAAAATGTAGGCTCTTTTAGTCATCAGCACCCCTATAGGATATGGTGTTTGTCGTATTTCCATAATTTCACCACTAGAGTGTAGTAACTATGTACACTGCATAGTTAGATATTACTGCACTCTCGGAGCTAGAAGCACAAGCATTTCGCTACACCCGCTATAACATCTGCTAAACACGTATGTGACAAATAAAATTTGATTTGATCCTGTGGCTGTGCTGAGTTATTTTGCTCCCCGTAGGCTGACATAATGTGGTTAGATAATCTATGGGTTGGCAGATGGAGCCTGTGGCTCTTGACAAAGTCAACCCTGAAGGCTGTCAAAAGCCTGAAGAGAAATAGCCTATCTAAGATGGGTCTTCAATGGCTTCCACAAGCAATGTGTTATATTTCTTTCCCACCTGCCTTTGTAACTTAACGTACATGCTTTTTACAAAACCTGCAATCATATTCTTGAAAAGACAGGCCCTTTGGTGGTTTGTTCTATATCGTGGAGCTCTGCTCCTATTGGTTTACCCACTGCCCTAAGGCAGCATCAGCCTGAGACAAAATTATGCACACACCTGCAGCCAATAGGAGTACAGGTGTCCCTATAAGAGGGGACGCTTCCCTTCAATCAGCCTCCCTTTATCTTCAGCGACTAGACTGAAGAAGCCAAGAAGAGACGAAGAGAAGACTCAGGACGAAGAAAACGCCGTCGATTTTCCAGATCATCGACGTCGTCCTACAATGAGCACACCAAGCTTATCCATAGGGTAAGTATTTAACAAAAGCTCTTTTCAGAGCTCAATGTCGCTGTTCCCCTTGGTGGCTGTCGACCCCCCCCCCCCGACTTATGTTTAGTGGGTTGAGGGACACAGCACGCCAGGGACGGCCTCATTAATCCCCCACTATGCGCCAGCTGCGCCCTCCTTTTTTGAAGGAGAGGAAAGCAGCTTTGGGCATTTTTAGGGAGGATATTCCTCTTGAGGATGTGCTATCAGTGTTAGCCTCAGCTTCTGAGGCATCATCTGAAGGCGCTGACTCAGGAGATGACAGGGCTATTGGGGAAGAAATGAATATTCTATTGGAACAATTCATTACACTGACCCAGATGTTTAACACCCCTTTTCCCTCAGGAAAGTGTGAGGTCATTTACATCCCTGGATGATGGCGCCACAGCCTCTCTGTGCTCTGAATTTTCAGGTCTCATTGAGTGGGCTACTAAACAGCGGGAGATTAAGCTGCCCCCCATTCCCTCCAACCCGGAAGTGGACATGATGGAGGGCGGCCGTTACTCTCGCTACAGCTTGGCGTCAGACGGCGGCCTCCAGCAGCAAGGGAGCGGGCCTCGCCCCCCCCCCCCCCTGCAGCGCCAGAGGTGCCGACCATTCCGCCGGCGAGAGAGGTCATTAAAGCGTCATCCTGGCATCACCCGAAGGGCGGCCAGAAGAGAACGGAAGACGGCGCAGCGCCTGGTGTGACTGAGCCCACTGTTTCCCCCCACCCTACCGTTGAGTGTATGGAGGAGAATGTTTTTTGTTGATGTGTGTAATAAAGAGTTGGCTCTACCTGACTTTGTCAAAGAAAGAGCCCCTTTTCCATAATACATCCGAGAGCGTTCGACCTTCCTCACTCTCGCTCTCTCTCTTACCACTCGAGTGCAGCTCAGCCCACCACAGTGCGTTGCTGAGCACACACATAAGGTAGGTATAAAAAGGATATTAATTTTAAGATGTTACCTTATGAAGACCTCACTTTACAGACTCCTAGGAGTGCTGTAGTGAGTGTCTCACATAGCAGGCTGCAGTCTCAGCCGGATAATGGCATGATGACGCGACCGCTATTCGGGACGGCGCTCTGTCTCAGGCTAAGGTCTCAGTCAGTGCAGTTCAGACCCGGGCTGCATTCACGGAGGGCCGGAATACTGTGGTTACGAGTTTAACCAACGTATCGGCGCCCCCGTTTCTCTCAGAACGCGCTGATGCTCACCACACTGAGTGTAGCTCAGCCCACCAGGGGTGCAGAGCTGAGCACACACAGGAGGTGAATGTTAAAAAAGGGTATCAAGACGCCGCCTTGTGTTACCTCATAGAGACCTCACATTACAGACTCCTAGGAGTGCTGTAGTGAGTGTCTCACATAGCAGGCTGCAGTCTCGGTCAGACACTGACATGATGACACAGCCGCTATTTGGGGATGGCGCACTATCGCAGACTAAGGTCTCTGTTAGTGCGATTCAGACCCATGCTACGTTCACGGAGGGCCCGATTACCACGGTCACGAAAGTAACCAACGTATCGGCGCCCCCACCTCTCTTAGAACGTGCCAATGCTCACCACACTGAGTGTAGTTCAGCCCACCAGAGGTGCAGAGCTGAACGCACACAGGAGGTGAAAGGAGGAAAGATACCAAGACGCCGTCTTGGTTTATCTCAAAGAGACCTCACATTACAGACTCCAAGGAGTACTGTAGTGAGTGCCTCTCATAGCAGGCTGCAGTCTCAGTCTGGAGACATGATGACGCAGCCGCTATTTGGGGATGGCGCACTATCGCAGACTAAGGTTTCGGTTAGTGCGATTCAGACCCATGCTGCGTTCACGGAGGGCCGGATTACTAAGGTTACGGGAATAACCAACGTATCGGCGCCCCCACCTCTCACAGAACGCGCTAATACTCACCACACTGAGCGTGACTCAACCCACCAGAGGTGCAGAGTTGAACACACACAGAAGGTGAAGGTTAAGAAGGTATCAAAGCGCCGCCTTGTGTTACCTCATAGAGACCTCATATTACAGACTCCTAGGAGTATTGTAGTGAGGGGCTCTAATAGCGAATTGCAGTCATCTACGATGAAGCAATCGCTTGCTGGGGATGGTGCCCTGTCGCAGGCTGTGGCCTCGGTCAGTGCAATTCAGACCCGCGCTCCGTTCACGGAGGGCAGGAATACGACGGTTACGGGTTTAACTGACGTCTCTGCCCCTCCTTCTGGTTCAGAACGCACTAATGTTTCCTCTCCCTTTCATGGGAGGCCCGCCTTGGGCTGTTCCACCACCTCAGTGTTGGGGAACAGCGGCGGCAAGGGCCATAGAGGAATACAGGTCCTTCCTACTGAATGTACCACAGCTTCGCGCTCGGCCGCTTTCTCTGTATTGCTGGCAGTGGCAGCGAAGCTGCACCCTCTCACGCTGGCTATAACAGATG